TCCCTGAGGGACATGGGGACACAAGAGGATCTTGGGGACACCATGGATCCTTGTCCCCAGTGTTCCCACTGTCCGTGGGGAACACAAGAGGGTCTTGGGGACATCTGGATCTACATCCCCAAGGGTTCCCAGTGACCCTGAGGGACATGGGGACACAAGAAGGTCTTCGGACACCTGGATCCGTGTCCCCAATATTCCCAGTGTCCATGAGGGACACAAAAGGGACACGGGGACACCTGGATCCATGTTCTCAAGGGTTCCCAGTGTCCCTGGGGGACATGGGGACACAAGAGGGTCTTGGGGACACCTGGATCCATGTCCCCAAGGTTCCCAGGGTCTCTGAGGGACACAAGAGGGTTTTGGGGACACCTGGATCCACATCCCCAAGGGTTCCCAGTGTCCCTGAGGGACATGGGGACCCCAGGAGGGCCTTGGGGACACCTCAGATCCACATCCCCAGGGGTTCCCAGTGTCCTGAGGGACACAAGAGGGACATGGGGACACCTGTTTCCACGTCCCCAAGGATTCCCAGTGACCCTGGGGAACACAAGAGGGTCTTGGGGACATCTGGATCTACGTCCCAAACAGTTCCTGGGGACCCCAGGAGGGACATGGGGACACCTGGATCCACATCCCCAAGGGTTCCCAGTGTCCCTGGGGAACACAAGAGCGTCTTGGGGACACCATGGATCCCTGTCCCCAAGGGTTCCCAGTGTCCCTGGGGGACACAAGAGAGTCTTGGGGACACCTGGATCCCTGTCCCCAAGGGTTCCCCAATGTCCCTGAGGGACACAAAAGGGACATGGGGACACCTGGATCCATGTCCCCAAGGGTTCCCAGTGTCCCTGAGGGACCCAAGAGGGTCATGGGGACATCTGGATCTACAGCCCCAAGGGTTCCCAGTGACCCTGAGGGACACGAGTGTCATGGGGACACCTCAGATCCATGTCCCCAAGGGTTCCCAGTGTCTCTGAAGGACATGGGGACGCAAGAGGGTCTTGGGGACACCGTGGATCCATGTCCCCAACGTTCCCAGTGTCCATGGGGGACACAAGAGGGTCATGGGGACATCTGGATCTACATCCCCAAGGGTTCCCCAATGTCCCTGAGGGACACAAAAGGGACATGGGGACACCTGGATCCATGTCCCCAAGGGTTCCCAGTGTCCCTGAGGGACCCAAGAGGGTCATGGGACACCTGGATCCATGTCCCCAAGGGTTCCCAGTGTCCCTGAGGGACATGGGGACCCCAGGAGGGACATGGGGACACCTGGATCCACGTCCCCAAGGGTTCTCAGTGTCCCTGAGGAACACGAGGGTCATGGGGACACCTCAGATCCACGTCCCCAAGGGTTCCTAGTGTCCCTGAGGGACTTGGGGACACAGGAGGGACATGGGGACATCCTGGATTGACGTCCCCAAGGGTTCCCAGTGACCCTGGGGGACACTCCAGCCTCGTGTCCCCAAGGGTTCCCCAACGTCCCCTGGGCGCTACCTAGGAGGATGGGGGTCGGGGACGGGGCCGGGGACGGGAGGACCCACCTGGCGTGTCACCGGAGGCCGAGGGTCCCGTGACAATGGCCGGGCTGGCCCGCGCTACCTGACGGACAGCTAGGACGAAGAGAGACACCGGGGTCAGGGCCACCGTGGGGGGACACGCTCAGGGTTCCCAGTGTCCATGGGGGACACAAGAGGGTCTTGGGGACACCATGGATCCATGTCCCCAGTGTTCCCAGTGTCCATGGGGGACACAAGAGGGTCTTGGGGACACCATGGATCCATGTCCCCAGTGTTCCCAGTGTCCATGGGGGACACAAGAGCATCTTCGGGACATCTGGATCTACGTCCCCAAGGGTTCCCAGTGACCCTGGGGACCCCAGGAGGGACATCTGGATCCAAGTCCCCAAGGATTCCCAGTGTCCCTGGGGGACACAAGAGGGTCTTGGGGACACCATGGATCCCTGTCCCCAAGGGTTCCCTAATGTCCCTGAGGGACACAAAAGGGACATGGGGACACCTGGATCCATGTCCCCAAGGGTTCCCAGTGTCCCTGAGGGACATGGGGACCCCAGGAGGGACATGGGGACACCTGGATCCACGTCCCCAAGGGTTCTCAGTGTCCCTGAGGAACACGAGGGTCATGGGGACACCTCAGATCCACGTCCCCAAGGGTTCCTAGTGTCCCTGAGGGACTTGGGGACACAGGAGGGACATGGGGACATCCTGGATTGACGTCCCCAAGGGTTCCCAGTGACCCTGGGGGACACTCCAGCCTCGTGTCCCCAAGGGTTCCCCAACGTCCCCTGGGCGCTACCTAGGAGGATGGGGGTCGGGGACGGGGCCGGGGACGGGAGGACCCACCTGGCGTGTCACCGGAGGCCGAGGGTCCCGTGACAATGGCCGGGCTGGCCCGCGCTACCTGACGGACAGCTAGGACGAAGAGAGACACCGGGGTCAGGGCCACCG